GTTTGTTTCTTTTTGAAGATGGCTGGCGAGAGCCCTTCAGTGGGCACCAAGGCTTATTAAATTCCTTGTCTAATTAGTAAGAGTTTTCTCTTCTTCTGATGCAGGATGAGTTGGAAGCTTCTTGGTGCTCTCGGACTGAAAATCCCACAGGTTGCCTCTTAAAGAAAGGGGAGACAATTCAAATAATTTTCTTTGGAAAAAATTCCTGGAAATATCCAGTCCTAGGCCTGTCCCTCCACAGGGTGTAGAGTCCTCTCCCGAGCTTCAGAGGACCACAGCCTCAGAAATTGTCCTTCCCCGGAGCTGGGGGCCTGGAGAACTGGAAGAGGAGCCTGAAGAAAAGCTGGTGCAATCCCAGGGCACTCCCTTGGGTGACAGGAGCTGCTGAGGAGGATGTGTTCACAAAGGACAGAGCAAGGAATGCAGGGAAGAGAGGGGAAGGTGCCACCAGGGAGGCTGGAGAAAGGTGAACTGAGAAGGAGCAAAGTAGGTGCAACCCTTTCTCAACAGCTTCTCCTCCCAGGGCTCCCCAGGGAACGGTCCCAGCCCCAAGAGCTCCAGGAACATTTGGACACCACTTTGGAATGCCCAGGGTGGGATGTTGGGGTGTCTGTGCAGGGACAGGAGCTGGGCTCAGTGATCCTGGTGGATCCTTCCAGCTCAGGGATTGTGTGATTCCATGGAAGTCACATCTTCCATGGCACAGACTGAAGCACTCAGACCCCTGAGGCACCACAGCTTGGTCTGGAGTACCTGGGAAAACTGCACCATGTCAGAGCTGGGAAACCCCAGGCCCAGCCCCAAGCACCCCTGGGAACTCCTGCCCTGCTCCAGCTGGGCCAGCACCCAGAGCCTTCTCTGGACCTGCAGCTCCCTGAGCCCTTTGTGGGAGCTGCAGCCCAGCGCTGTCACCACTGCCCTAAAGGAGAGGCAGCCCTGCCCTGGGTGCAGCTGCAGCCCTGGAGGCCTGGATTCCCCCAGCTCCAGGAGCAGAGCTCTGAGCTCCTCCACAGCTACATCTGTGCTGCGGGCAGCTCCCGCTGCCGAGAGCCCAGGCTGAGCTTCCAGCTGGCTCCGTTCCCTCCAAACAGATGCAGCTCCTATAGCAGGGCCTGATTTATTCAGCAGGAGTCTCGCACATTAAGTGTAGTTAAGTCTGAAAACAAATCTAATGACTTTAAAATAAATAGCCAACAGAGGACTCCAAACTGAAATTCCTCCTTCCTCTGACACCCGCCATATAAACAATAATAATTATATAAAACCGTGTCTAACACATGACTACACAAGGCTCTGGTGACCAAGAAAAGCACACGCTGCTTGTCAGACATAATTGCACATTTGGTTTTTCAATTATTTCTTGTCAGGATCCAGAGCCCACCATCTGAACACTGACATTAATTATTGGGAAGTTGTTAGTGCTCCAATAGTCTAATGGGGACTCCCAGTGCTCACCCTGAGCCCAGAGCTGCCAGTGCTGCTCCCACACTGCCCTCCTGTCCCACCAACCCCTGGGACTGTCACACACCACACAGGACACCCAGCCTGGGCCACCCTGTGCACAAGGGGCTTCAGAAGAAGCTTAAAGCAAGTCTCAAGTGGACTGGATGATCCCTGCCATGTGCTCACCCACAGGATGGGACCAGACCATGTCCAGCACTGGGGCTTCCAACACAAGACCTGGAGCTGCTGGAGCGAGTCCAGAGGAGGCCATGGAGCTGCTCCAGGGCTGGAGCCTCTGCTCTGGAGCCAGGCTGGGAGAGCTGGGGGTGCTCACCTGGAGAGGAGAAGCTCCAGGGAGAGCTCAGAGCCCCTGCCAGGGCCTGAGGGGGCTCCAGGAGAGCTGGAGAGGGACTGGGGACAAGGGATGGAGGGACAGGACCCAGGGAATGGCTCCCACTGCCAGAGGGCAGGGCTGGATGGGATATTGGGAATTAGGAATTGTTCCCTGTGAGGGTGGGCAGGCCCTGGCACAGGGTGCCCAGAGCAGCTGGGGCTGCCCCTGGATCCCTGGCAGTGCCCAAGGCCAGGCTGGACAGGGCTGGGAGCAGCCTGGGACAGTGGGAGGTGTCCCTGCCATGGCAGGGGTGGCACTGGATGATCCCTAAGGTCCCTCCCACCCCAAGGCAGTGTGGGATTCTGTGAATGCAGCCCATGTCACCTCTGTCACTGTGTTCCTGCTGAGTCCCCTCCCAGCCCCTCTGAGCAGCTCCTGCCATCACACTCCCATCACATCGCTGCCCATCATGCAGGAAAACATCCTGCCTTTTACTGGCTTTTAATTTGCTGCTTTTTAATTTTGTTGACTGTCTCTTTTTTCCTTGCAAAAGGAAGAAAGAAGCCTCTGATCTACCTTTTCTGGAGTGTTCAAAAACATGCACAGCTTTGTCAGGTTGTCTCTTAGTTGTCATCTTCCCCAAGGCAAGCAGCCATCTCTCTTCTGGCTGCCTTCAAGGAAGAGGGCTTTTTGTGATCCTAAGAATTCTCTTCACCTTATAAAATCTCCCATTGCTGAGCACTCACTGAGGTGAAGCAACCACACAGGAGTCAATGGGGGAGGAGAACAGTGAGTGCTCTCTGCCAGCAGGAGCTGCCAGCTGCACACACTGACCCCTGTTCTTCCAAAGGCAGCAACAGGCCTGGAGCTGGGGGTGGTGGGAGCACAAACCCCTGGGCCTTCAGAGCTTCCAGGGTTTGCTTGAAACAGAAAATCAATTCACTGCAGTAAAAAAAGAAAAATAGGATTGACCCAATATCACAGTCATCACCTTAGACCAAGTCTGCTACTGTGAAAAAAAAATATTGCAGGAAGATAAAATCCAGGAAACTTATATTATATTATATTAATTACATTATACTATATTATATTATACTATATTCTATTATACAATATTATTTTTCCTTGTATTTTTACTGATACAAATTAATTGTTAAAAGCTTCCTCGATAGTTTACAATTAGTGAGGGTTTCAAGCAGCAATGACTTTGAGAAACATCCATCTTGTGTCTCCATCCACTGATGACCTCACAGATTCAGTCAGAGCCACATTTCCACCTTCAATCACTGACAGAGCTTTCTTGAAATATTACATTTTGATTCTGTTTTATTATTTTTAAATGGACTTGGTCATTCTCCATTCTTTGACCACGTTTTGTTCAGTCAGGTAGATGATAAAGTGGGTTTTGTTTCCACTTTTCTACAAGGAAAAAAAGCAACAACCAGCCTCACACTCCTCTGGACATACAAAGGAACAGGGAGGGAAGTTCTCCCACCCCACCTGGAGCTCCATCCCTGCCCTGGAAAGGGCCATTGCTCACTTCTGGGAGGATGTTCAGCCCCAAGGGCAGCCCAGGCAGGTGAGATGGACACCCCAAAGGTGAGATGGACATTCCAAAGGTGAAATGGACACTCCAAAAGTGACATGAACACCCCAAAGGAGAGACGGACACTCCAAAGGTGAGATGGACACCCCCTAAGGTGACATGGGCCCTCCAAAGGTGAGATGGACACCCCAAAGGTGAGACGGACACTCCAGAGGTGACATGAACACTCCAAAGGAGAGACGGACACTCCAAAGGTGAGATGGACACCCCAAAGGTGAGATGGATACTCCAAAGGTGAGATGGATGTCCCAAAGGTGAGATGGACACCCCAAAGGTGAGATGGACACCCCAAAGGAGAGATGGACACCCCAAAGGTGAGATGGATGCCCCAAAGGAGAGATGGACACCCCAAAGGAGAGATGGACACTCCAGAGGTGACATGGACACCCCAAAGGTGAGATGGATGTCCCAAAGGTGAGATGGATACTCCAAAGGTGAGATGGACACCCCAAAGGAGAGATGGACACCCCAAAGGAGAGATGGATGCCCCAAAGGTGAGATGGACGCTCCAAAGGTGAGATGGACGCTCCAAAGGCCAGCTCCCACATGGAGGATGCACTTGCCCACCTGCTGTGGGAAACCCTCCAGTGAGAGCTGCAAAACTGAATTAAAGGTTGGAATAAAGAATCCAGGGGAAGGAAGTGATGCCTGGCTCCTCTCCCCTTGCTCCTCAGCTTGTGCTTTCTTTCCAAGACTTTCTTCAGGCTGACTGCCAGTGAGCCAGCACTGCTGGGCCATGGGTGAGCCACCCCCAAAGTGAGACAGAGAAGTCTTCTCCTGTGACAGACACCCAGTGTTCCTCTCTGCCCTGTTCAGGGGCACCCCAGATGTGTTCAATGCCAAGCAGTGCCAACTGGACAAAAAGCTGCCAGGAATGAGGGGATTTTGTCCTGAAATGCCATTGGCAGAGCTGGGGCACTGGGCAGGGACCAGCCAGCACGGTGGGAGCATCAGACCCAGCAGGGGCTGCACAGTCAGCAGTGGGAGGCAAGGAGGGCATCAGCACCACAGCAGTTCCCAGATCTCTCTGGATGTGCTTTTACACAGCAGGATGAGTTTTATCTAAGGAATGAAACTTTCACAGTGCTTTCAAGGCCCTGGAGGGGACAGGAGGAGTCCCCATCCCTGGGTGTGTTTAACAAAGCCTGGATGTGGCACTGGGTGCCAGGGTTGAGTTGAGGTGTTGGGACTGGGATGGACTCGATGATCTTGAAGGTCTCTTCCAACCCAGTGATTCTGTGAGGCCACAGCCCAGGGCAGACCCACCTGAGCATGTCCCTCTCCAGAGTGGGAGCAGCAGAGACACCTCTCAGTGGGATCACAGGGGAATGGGGTGGTGGGACAGCTCTCTCCTCTCCTTCTGAAGGACAGAAGGGTCTGCACAGCCCAAGGGGGCACTCAGCTGGAACTCCCCACACACACACAAACCACGTCTGCTTTCAGTCCCCAGTGCCAGGATGAGGCCAGCCTCCCACATCCACCCTCCCAGCCATATCCAAAGAGGGCTGCATGGACACTCTGTCAGCTCTGACACCCATCCCACCTTTGGCCACCCCACCTCCAGGGTGGAGAGCACACCTGAGCAGAGCTGACCCACCCAGCACATCCCAGCCCTACCTGCTGGAAGAGCTCCTCCGCCCGCTGCTGTTGCTCTCCTCGGCCTAGGAGATCAAAACAGAAGAGCTGGTTAGCTTCAGAAGGATGAGGCTGCTCTTCAGCCCAAACCTGGGGTTCCCCAGAGCTGCACACACGCCCCAGGCCCAGCTCTGAGCCCGGGGTGTCGGGGCTGGGCAGGGTCTGAGCCTCCCCAGCCCATCCCCACCCGAGGCTCAAGCAGTGATCCCTGGCATGCAGAGCCAGGTGGGAAATCAGGAATGGCCAAATTGTCCCAATGTCCACGCAGGAATGGCTCCCTCCAGGCCCAACACCTCCCCTCATTAGCCCTGTGTCCTAATTAGCCCCTGCAGGCCCTGGCAGGGCTGAGCAGGGAGGGCCTGGGGTCTCCTCTTGCCTCTTCCCCAGCTCACTGATGAGAGCCTTCCTTGGAAAGACAATATTATTCCAATCCCAGAAATTTTATTTCTGAATTTGTGCAAATACAAGTTAAAAGATATTAGCTGCATTTCACATTTTGTGCAAATGGCAGAAACAGGCAATTCATGTGCAGCAGGATGGGGGCCAGCCAACGATTTCGATAAAATAAACCCTTTTTTAATTTAAATGCTAATGCACTGAATTAAAATTTAATAACTGAGGAAATTGAAAAGCCGAGCAGGAATATTGGAAATAAATCCAAGCAGAAACAGCTGAAATTAAAAATTCTAGAGAGTGGGAGGATAGCAGCTAAGCTGTCTTATATGATTACATTTTTTTTATATTTTTTTTTTTCAGAACGAAGGGGGGAAGGAAAAAAATCCTATCTTTGGCTGGCTGTAGGGCAGTAAATCGAGAGTGCTATGATTTATTGCTCAATTTTCCTGAGGGAAAAAGGCTTTCTTTCATGCTGAAATATTTCATAAATTTCAAGCCAGCATAAATTCTTAATTTAAAAGTTATGGAGGTCACATTTAGTGCACTGGTGCAATTCTGAAATCTTAAAGGAATAGCAACCAAAAAAATTGCAATTTGATTTTATTTTTTTAATTCTTCATGTAAAATTTTCTTCAAAGGGATTGTCCAAGTTACATAAAGCAGAAACACAACCTGGTTTCTGAAGGGATATGAAATCCACTGGAAATGAAGAGATAAAAATCTAATTCAATTACAAAAAGGTATTTTGTTATGATGATTATGATGATGATTATTATTATTATTGTGAGCCACTTGAGGAATTTCTGTTAAAAAATTTCTTCTCTCCATTGCCTGGGAAAAGCCAGAAGGGAGGAGCTGACAATGTAATTGCTTCTGTTAGATCTCCAATCTTTTGTGAGCACTGATATGTTCATTTGTTATACAGCTGTTCAGCTACAGAAAGGATGTCAGAGCACCCATAATTCAAAGCAATCAATCAAAAATTAATGATTTGTCATGCTTACACAATGGAAAAAAAAGGAAAAAAAGCTTTATGGGTTCCTACAACTGGTAGATTGCTCAAACCTTTGGGGCATTTTCTAGAAGATTAGATCTGTGTACAAGGAAAAGGGGGAAAAGGGGAAAAAGGAGATTTAATACAGAGCCAGGGCAGAAACTTTGTTGGGGTGCTGAGGATCCCAGAGATGGGAAACTCACAATTCCTGCCTGTACAAAGGGATTTGTGCACAACCCAAGCTCACACAAGCCAGGAGCCACATCTTGGATCACAGGGACCTTGTGAGGCTCCTGCCATGAGACTTCCATGGGAAAAGCACCTGCTGAATCATGGAACCATGGAATATCCAGAGCTGGAAGGATATTCTGAGCCATGAGGATGATGGAACCCAGCCCTGGCCCTGCACAGACACCCCAACAATCCCCAGTGCTGGGAGTTTCCTTATTTTAAAAGAAAAAATGAGAAAAAAAAGAACCACAACAGGTAAGGGCTCTCATGTCAATGGTTTCACCCAGCCAGGGTGCTGCTGGAGATGATCCATTAGACAAAAACACCCAGCTAAGCCTGAATGAGATCAGACCAAGCCTTAAATGTTTCTGAATGCTGAAATAAACAAATCCACAGAATCCCACACTGCTTTGGGGTGGGAGGGACCTTAAGGATCACCCAGTGCCACCCCTGCCATGGCAGGGACACCTCCCACTGTCCCAGGTGCTCCCAGCCCTGTCCAGCCTGACCTTGGGCACTGCCAGGGATCCAGGGGCAGCCCCAGCTGCTCTGGGCACCCTGTGCCAGGGCCTGCCCACCCTCACAGGGAACAATTCCTAATTCCCAATATCCCATCCAGCCCTGCCCTCTGGCACTGGGAGCCATTCTGTGAGGCCACAGCCCAGGGCAGACCCACCTGAGCATGTCCCTCTCCAGAGTGGGAGCAGCAGAGACACCTCTCAGTGGGATCACAGGGGAATGGGGTGGTGGGACAGCTCTCTCCTCTCCCTGTCCCTCCATCCTGTCCTGTCCCTCCATCCTGTCCTGTCCCTCCATCCCTTGTCCCCAGTCCCTCTCCAGCTCTCCTGGAGCCTCTTCAGGCCCTGGCAGGGGCTCTGAGCTCTCCCTGCAGCTTCTCCTCTCCAGGTGAGCACCCCCAGCTCTCCCAGCCTGTTCCTTCAAAAATAAAATCCATCTAATCTAAAACATCCCACCTAAATTCTAAAAAGTGGCATTTGAGGACTAAAATGCCACGAGGAAGGGGAGGGGTGAAAGGCTGGAAATCACTGTTTAACCAGAATGTGCCAAAACAAGTCAGAGCAGCCCCCAACAAAGTAACACCTTTGTGGAGGGGAACAGAAATCTCCTGTGCTCCTTTAGAATCTCCTGCACTCCCATTTACCCAAAGAATTGATTTTGGTGATTTCCTAATTTCTAATTGAAAAAGGAGAGGAGCAGAATTTTCATCTGCTGATGAGCAGGGAGGCCGGATGTAGGGTGCTGGAACAGGCTGGAAAATGTCACACAATCTGCCCCATAAAATCATTTACAATTCAAAATGTTACTGCCTGAAGTTGCTTTTCTACATATTGGGTGCATTTAGGGGAGTTTTGTTTAACTAATGCTAATAAATATCCTTTAAATGAAAATGCACACAAGCAGAATGTGGTTTCAGGCCATATGCTCCTCAACTCGAGTTGTAAGCAAAAAGTAAATAATGTGATAATTAAGAAATGTATCAGTCAACATCTCCTAACAGGATAACATGTCAAAAAATAGGAGTCCAAGCAGATGTAAAACTGACCTGAGAAATCCATGTTTATCGAGAGGGCTACACTATATTGGGAAAAAACCCCAACATTTTAACAGTTACAGCAAAACTCAAAAATAACTTAAAGCAATAAAAATGTGAAATGAGATTTCAGATGATTTAAGCACAGGCCTTCTGCCTGATCACTTCAATTATGATTAGAAACAATTATTCAAATCACTTGGATTTGCATCCATGCTCGGATCAGCTCCCATGGATGGGATGGGGGCACTGGGATACCCCCAAGCACTGCCACAGCCCTTCCCAGGGGAAAAAGGGGCTCAATCCATGTATTTATTTCTTTATTCAGACACAGCCATCCCTATGATTTGCCTCTGAACCCCATCCCAAAGGGACAGGTCCCTAATTCTGCCTGGGGGTTGCAGGAGAAGCAGACCCCTCTCACCCTTCTCCCACAGCACTTTCCCTCTGCAGAGGGAAAAGGGCAGAGTTGTTTGTTTACCTGAGGGAAAATAAAAGGAAAAAACCCAAAACCCCCACCCTGCTTCCCCCAAACGCATTCCCAGAAACAGCTGAGTAATTTTTGTCCAAACACAAACCACACATTCAATTTTGGAAGGAGACAGCAGCACCCAGCATGGAAAATTTCACCCCAAATAATTAAAATTTGGCAAAGGAGAAGAAACTGAAAACAGGTCTGACATAGGAATGTGCCATAAAAATAACTGCAGGCCTGCTACCTGTGCTGTCTGGGGTTATTAACTTCAGAGCCACAGAAAATGCAGGAAGTGCTTTTTTTTTTTTTCTTTTTTCTCTTCTTTAAACAAAGGGCAAGACACGGCAGTTTCCTATTTAATTTTTATTAAATAGGAGGGGGAAAAACAGCAGAGCAGCTCCACATCACACCAAAACATCTGCAGAGCACAAGGACCCATAAATGTGCCCGTGCCCCTTTTTAATCTGGATTTCTGCTTCCTCCTGCCAGCACAGCGGGTGCTGAGGAACCCCAAGGCCAAAGAGGGAAACAAGGCTGAGCCCAGGGCTGGTCCAGGCAGAGCTGTGCTCCACAGAACCATGGAATCCTTGAGGTTGGAAAAGCCCTCTGAGATCAGAGTCCAACTATTCCCCAGCACTGCCAAGGCCAGCACTAACCCCTGTCCCCACGTGCCACATCCACACTGGAACCTTTCCAGGGATGGTGACTCCACCACTGCCCCACGCAGCTGTTCCCATGCCTGGCCACCCTTTTCATGAGGAAATTCTTCCTAATATCAGACCTACACCTTCCCTGGTGCAATTTAAGGCTGTTTCTTCTGGCTCCAGAGCCAGGGCATCCCCTGCCTGAAGGAGAAAGATCCCCACTGCCTTTGGCTGCTGTGGCTCATCCCCTCCTCATCCTTTGCCTTTGCCAATCCATCAGAGCAGCCTCCAAAAGGGATGAATTTTCCACTTGGGAACAAGACAGTTCCTGGGGCTGGAGGAATGTGCTGCCTATTTCCTCAGCTGCAGCTTCCCCTCAAGAAACAACCAAAATAATAATAATAATAAAAAAAAATATCTGCAAGGAGGAAATGGGAGCTCTCCCTGAGGCATCTGCCCGGTCCCACAGCTGAGCCAAGCCCCGGAGTGAGGGTTCCCCAACCCCCAAAATCCACTGTGGGGTCTGCAATCCCCCCCCATGCTGGCCATGGGGCAACACCTGGGGTGGGGATGCTGGTGGCAGCTTCAGTGTCAGAATTCCTTGGGAGCAGCCAGGGGAATCTCACCCTTGTGCTCAGCTGCAGCCAGTGCTTGTTCCCTGTTCCAACACAAGAGCCCAGCAGTAAACAGCAACATCTGAGAGTTTAGAGCCCTCTGAGATGAGCCTGTGGGGG